ATGAGTCGTTTTTCCGGATAATCTCGTTTAATGATCACTTTGTTGGTCTCTATTTAAAGTATTATGTTGGCACTTTATATTTTCTCACGTTTTTGTCGGAAAATTTATTATTGGCAGAGATGAGGTGAACCAACCGAGTACGATATATGATTACGTTTCAATTGTTCATATTACGGCTAGATGTGTCCATTCTTTTATTCGTTTAGAATTTTTTTTAAAAGAAATTGAGCCTTTGATATGTGATTAGAAAATAATTTCTAATTACGGTTAGGTAATTTGCTTTGTAGGATACCTTTTTTAGTCATATTGCATCATGCGTTATAATGCTTTTGTTCACTCATTTAGTTTGAGAATTTTTTTTTATCTTGCATATTTCTTTGTAAACTCTTTCACTTGTATCTATAAAATCAAAGCATTATTGAAGTGTACATCATTCTGCTTATCTCTTATCTTGAAGAATTTTGAATCGTGGTTAAAATAAATAAAATATAAATAAATGAATAAAGCCTATTTTGATTTCCTTTCATTCCTTTCCCTTTCGGTATATATTAAAAACCGTATGTTCTTGTTCTTTTATTTTATTTTTTATTTTATATTACCAAAACAAATAAAACCTGCACCTACTAATATGGAGATGATCGAAGCTGACGCCCATGCAACATTATCGACTTATTACATATTTTTAAGATAAAACAAAAATTCTAGATTTTAACCGATAAAACTTCCGGCTTCAATTTGTCAAGCAGGTCGTAAATTTATATTAACTACAAAGTAAAAAGAAATTGACATATACAAGATATGGTCGGAATCTAGTTATGTCGCAAAGGAGAAAGTCTCAATTAATAATAGTATTAGGAAAGTATAAAGACCTTTTTTGTCAATTTTTTTTTTAGCACAATCTTTACGAAATTCGGCTTCATGTTGTATAATGAATTTTGTCTACCATTTTACAAAATGTTAGATTCGTTTTAGCCGTGTAATTTTAAAGGTTCGCTGTACGAGAGCGACTGCGTATTATGCAATTTTAAAAAAATTTTATGTTTACTGCGCCTAAAGGCAGATTGACCAAACGGAATTTTTTTAACAATTCATGTGACCGATCACTTGATGAAACTTCATCGTAAATCATGAAAAACGGATTTTCAGAACGATCTAAAGAACAATGAATATATTATACAGGTTTCGATATAATATATACGAATTGCAAACGAAATTATAAATCGTAGGAAATCGCTCAAAGTTTCGTCTAGTCACGTGGCCGAGATGTCCTAGACCTCTCAGATTTGATTAATTTATTTGTTATCATTAATTAATAGTTTTGTTAATAAAATGAGCAATTATTTTTTTTTCAACTTAAAGTTCGGAGTTTCAAGTGTAGAATATTGTGATTAATTTCATGTAAACTTGTCGTGTCTTCGCGTTGTATAGAAATAACTGATAAGATATCAAAAATAGTCATATGATCACATTTTTGGTGATTCCATGTGACAGCCTGATCAAGTATATATAGTCTCGTTTTGTTTACTTTGACCTCCTTTACACTTAGCGAAGTTTTGCTGGGTTCTTCGTTAAGTTAGTTATATTTCGCCACTTTTATGGTAAAAACCTTTGCACCTTCTTTACTTGCGAGCATAAGCCGGAGGAGGGTGATGACGTTGTATTGATATTTTAAGGCACCGAGCCTCTCCGAGTCTGAAACTTTCCTTAAGAGTTAATCCTTCTCTTTTGTACAGTCCGAAAAAGGATAGAGGCGTCCTCATTTCCTTCGAATTTTTTCTTACTATGAATGAAAAGCAGGGCGTCTGATTCAGACTTTTACCCAATCAATTATGGAACAGAATTTCCAGTATTTCTGGTTGGTTCGATTCCAACATTGATTCTTACATTTATGACACGAACTGTCTTCGCTTTACGTCTTACTGAAATTTCAACATGAGTCTCCTTTCTAAAACAGGATTCGGGTTACCGATATTATTATAAATTATCGAGGAAAATATGGCGAAAAAAATATTTATTATTGATTTATTAAAATGGACTTTCTCCACTTTTTTTTTTATGTATTGCAACGACACGAGGTAACAAACAAAAATTTAATTTTAGAATAATTTAGAACAATAAATATGACAAGCGATTTACGTTCAATTTTACACTAAACAAAGTCTTCGCTTTGCTTAAATAGGAACTATTAATTGATTCTCGATCGGTATATACATCAGATGTCAATTTGAGTCAACTGACAGTTGACATGCTACAATAGCATTCATTATGTACAATGGTTTTATCGTTCCTTAGGTACGTGGTACGTCAGATGACTAATGCTGGCCAAACCTTCTTAAGGCATTATAATGTTAGCCCAATATAGCCCATAATTTAGGCCCAGTCGGCATCTGACGTAAAATTATAGTTAATAGGAAAATTAGGTTGATCAAATGTGATCTACAATCATTGTTCTTAGTGATATCGCAAAAAACTCGTAAGGATAAAACGAGACTGTCGTAATATGCTTAGCTGATCTTAAACGTAATTATGCTTGGCTTGATGACGAGTTTTATCACGTTAAATACGATGACTTGGTTCATCGATAATTTTTCTTCTTTATTTTTAATTCAACATCATTCTAAATACAAATATGGATTATAGCGAATACACATTTGAAAATTCTTCTGTGAATAATGATTCACAAACGGTTGTGAATGATGATGATACACGTTCAGAAGCTCTTTCTGGCTATCAAACAGATGGTATGTGATTGCATTCGCATTTTATTCAAAATCAAAACCATTAATTTAATCTTTTGCATTCCTATAGAATCTCTGGTAACTGAATACGCCTCTGCATTTGAAGAGGATGATGATGAAGCGGATCTTATACAAGAGGAGTGCTGGGAAGTTGTATCATCATTTTTTCAAAAATAAAGGAATTGTACGACAACAATTGCGATTCTTTTGATGATTTTATTGATCGTGGTCTAGATGAAGTTATAAACGAAACCCCAATGCAAGCGATTAGATATTCTGCTTTTGAATATGGGCAAGGAAATAATGGTTTGTTTTCTGTACTATTTTTGTTGTTTTATATGGAATACATTATATACATTTTTTTTTTAAAAATAAAATAATATAAAATTAGACTCAATACCGTTTCGAGTTTGATAAGCCATCATTTACTAAACCTCAATTTTCCGAGCATGAGGTATTAAAAAGCAATTGTTTATGAAACTTTTTATATCAAAGCTAATAATAAACAGTTATTATGAAATCTATTACAATAAAAATGATTTAAAAGGATATGTGAAGACTGTGATTGATGAACCGGTATTTTTGGAAAGGTAACTTTGTTTCAAAATTAATAATTCAATTTATATATGATATAAATAAAAAATAGATTTCTGTTATGGTGATTTCTAAATTTTTATCATAGCTGATTTGACTTTTGAGGAACTGGAAGAACATCATTAAAGTCCATATGATCAGGTATAATGAATTTAACCTTCTATTAACATAAAATATCCCCATGCTAATTTTACTTAATTTTAGGGTTGTTACTTTATCATAAACGGTTCCGAGGGAATACATCTAACGCGGTTCGGGAGAAACGGATCTAGTACGTATTGGCTTAAATTATTAATTTTATTGCAAATTTGTTAAAATCATAATATGATGACGCATACCGTAGGTATGCGAAAAACATTATATATAACGAATTTCTGCTTCACGTTGGAGTAAGAATAGGCTTCAATTAAAGAATATTTTATGGGATATTTGGCGCATAGACTTTTAGTCTCTACTCTTGACCGTCGAGAACTTGATGATCGAGATCATTTTGGAAAAAAACGCCTTGATATGGCTGGTCCTATTATGATTTCATTATTTCGCACTTTATAACAAAACAGTGTTAAATGATATGGCTGCTTATTTTAGAAAGGTGAATAAAAGATTTTTTTTTTACAAGTTTTTAAAATTTAATTATATGTGTTCACATGTTTGTTATTTCGATTATTTTCTTTGATTAGTGTATTTCTAGTGAATGCGAATTCAAATTACCTTTCGCGTTAAGATCACATATAATTATCAATGGATTTAGATACTCAATTGGTACCGGTAATTGGGGAGATGCCAATAGGGCAATGCAGGCAAGTTACTTTATCTTGAAAAAAAAAAATTCATTATCGTATTATTATTAATCCCTTTCCTCTTCAATAGTCCAGGTCTAGTGTTCAAGTCCTAAACAGATTCACTTATGTGTCAACTATATCACATCTTCGAAGATGTAATGCTCCAATCGGACGCGCAACTTCATAATACACATTGGGGTTACATACGCCCTGCTGAAACTCCTGAGGGACAAGCCTGCGGTCTAATGAAAAGTCTAGCGCTAATGTCATACGTCTCAATGTCTATTCCTCTGATTTTGACTTGTATTACCGATAGACCTTTGGATTTAATAAAATCTATTTTGGAGAAATTCTCTTCCGGCTGACATTGGCATTGTTAATAATATACTTGTGAATGAAGTAAGATTCTACAAGAATCAGGAAGAATGTGTAGTTCCACTATTTGTCGTCGATCTGCATTTAGTTTGGACTTCAGATACTTTATCAAAATTAAAACTGGTAAATATTTACATATATAAATATATACGTATTATCTTAAATTTATTCTTCATACCTTCTTATTATTATTAATCAATAGGAGATAGCACAGGAGGCAAACCAAAGTTTATGGGAGGCATTAGTATTAGAACGTTACATCGAATATATTGATGCTGAAGAGGGAGAATCTACCATGATATGTATCTCTCCGGATGAATTATACGAGTCGAGTTTGTATAATTTACGTAAACTTGGCAAGGTTTAAGACCAAGAAGGAAAAGACGATCGGTCCATGAACGTCTAATTAATTTACCAACTTATCCAAATAAATGGATCCAAGTATGATTTTGGGTGTTTCCGCCAGTCTAATTCCATTTTCTGATCATAATCAAGTAAGATAATACACGGATTAAAATAAAATAATGATGATTGTTGCAAAATTTTAGTCTCCTCGAAATACCTATCAATCCGCTATGAGTAAGTAGGCAATGGGAATTTACACGACTAATTTTCGATTACGAATGGATGTATTGAATTTGTTGCATTATCCTCAGAAGCCTCTGTTACCACAAAAGTTATGGAATACTTTCAATGTTATCGTAGCTATTATGTGTTATGGAGGGTACGTACAATCAAGAAGATTCTTTGATTATAAACCAAAGTAGCATTGACAGGGGATTGTTTAGAAGCTTTACTTATCGACGTTACTTGATCAAGAAAAAGGTGGTACAGTAATTATTAAGATTACATTTTTAAGATTTATTAATATATTTAAAATGTTTTTTTTTTTTAAAAAAAAATATATATATAAAGGTACCCTTGGATTGGAACGTGGAAATTGTGAGAAACTTGTTGACGAAGGGTTCGTACCTTTTGGGATTCGAGTTTGTGGCAATGATACTCTCATAGGAAATGTGTCCACACTTTCACCTGAAGATGAACTTCTTGGCCAACGAAATGTATATCGAGATGTTTCTACATCATTAAGATCTACTGAACATGGAATCGTTGATCAAGTAATTGTTAAAACCAAGTCGGAGCTAATTGGTGAAAGTTGGAGTTTAAAAAACACGAATTCCTGAAATTGGAGATAAATTCGCAAGTCGTCATGGTCATAAAGGAACCATTGGAATCAATTATCGTCAAGAGGAGATGCCGACATTTAATTGAATGTTTAATGAGAAAGGTATAGTAAAAAGATATGTTTTAAAACCATACAGTATATACGTGGCTTAATACTAACTTCCGATTGTATACACTTGCTCATAAAGCTTTCGGTGTTTTCGGGTAGTGATGGTGATACTACAGCTTTTTCTGAAGTTACCGTAGAATCCATTTCGCGAAAACTTGGTTCTTTTGGATTCCACCGTCGTGGATTGGAAATTATGTATAATGGTCATACTTGACGTAAATTAGCCGCACAAATTTTCATTTGACCGACTTATTATCAACGGTTAAAACATATGGTTCAAGATAAAATTCAGTAAGTAATTTCCATATAGTATACAATTAATTAATTTAGAATTGCACCAAATATAAATTGAAAATATATAGTTCACGCGGAAGGGGTCCAGTTAATATATTAACTAGACAACCAGTTGAGGGACGTAGTCGTGAAGGAGGATTAAGATTTGGTGAAATGGAACGAGATTTTATGATTACTCACGGAACAGCCTTATTTTTGGAGGTATTTTGTATTATATGAATTTCAAATATCTTTTTAGATTTATTGCTTGCTTACGCTATTTTCATTTGTAAAAAAAAAAATTATTATATAGGAACGACTTAATGATGTCGCAGATGCTTATAGAATTCATGTGCGTGATATTTGTGGACTGATGTGTATGTAACATAAGTTTCGAAAAAAAATAAAATTTTTAAATTTAAATTAGAGTCTTAGAATCTTATTCTTCACAATAATTTCTCTCATAACATTTCTTTTGTAACCCTCTATATATTTTACTCCTAATTTTTTCGTTTTTAAAATTTAAAAGACTTTATTTTAGATTAAATAATATATTATTTTTTTTTTTTTTTATAAATATTTATCAAAATCTTAAACTTTATATGAATATAAAAAATCTTTTAAATTATACTATTGATTTATGTTTATTATTTTGAATTATTATTAGAAAATTAATACATTTATTATTTTATATATAAAATTGAAAAATATGTATTAGAATTATTATAAGCCTTCCTTTATTTCTCCACACATGATCACATGATTTCGGGGGTGCTATTGAAACTTTCAGAAAAAATGGGGCATCCTTAACCTAGGAAGGGGGTGTAGACCTTTATCCTAAACCGCAACTGTATATGTTACGTGATATATACTTTAAAATTATTTATTTATACATGGGGTTGGACGCCCGAAAAAATGCGTTAAATTTATTTCTTTCGTCACATGCTTTTTGGATATGTTTCTGTGGTGATTAATAATTTTTTTCCTTACCTTACAATAACCAAATTCAATAGATTTCCTCGTGGTCATACATTTATTTTGGAAATAGACACCGAAAAAAAGAAAAAAAATTTAAATAATAAATATTTCACTTTTGGAAAAATTTTCAATTTGGTCCCTTTTCCCCAAAGTTATGAACGAAGTGTTCGAAAATAAATTTTATCTTTATATTCTTTTTTAACACGAAAATACCCAAACACTTATCATCAGTTGAGATAGGAAGAGAGTCGAAGAACTAAATTGTTGCTATTTTAGAAAGTTTGAATCTTGAGAATGGTGAGTATTTCACTGAGTTATTTTGTCGAGTCATTGTATATCCGAAGTTATGCTGCTACTAGGTTTAAAATGTCTGGGAAATGAAAGCTCTTCGTGGCCACGGTTTCAGCCGTGAACGGTTCTTCCCTGTTTCCGAAATTCCAAATTCGGAACTGCCCTGGGGATTGTAGTGAATAGGATATACGAATCAGTTCTTCTTGATTTTTGATGATGATGACGCAAATTGCTCATTTTTATTTTTATATTTTATAGAGGCGTGGTGACAAAGGAAAGATAAACGTTGGCAAAAACTTGAGAAGTAAAAAAATAGGTATATTTTAATGAAAAATCACAGGTCCTTATGTCGTCTGAGAGGGTTGAAATGCTCTCCTGTCAACCTGACAAGAAATTCGGTGCAGTGTCGTGATAGCCTTCTCGAAGGAATAGTTATTTATTCCTTTTGATATAGAGGATGTCCTCACCGATAATGCGAACTTATATTCAAATTGTAAATATTTTTGTATTTTATCTTTCCTAGTTTTACTTTGTATATATTTTATTTTTATTGTAAATATCTTTGTATTTTCCTATGCAATAAAATCTAACCCTGGATACTAATGAAAATTTGTTTCTTTCATAAACATTCATAATGTTGTAGGGTAGTCCAATTATCATTTTCACGTGATTTTTCATGTGGCGGATTGCTTATAACAATCGTGAATTTCTCTTTTGTTTTGAGATTTCCAATCCCATATCCAAATCCCACTAAAATAACATAAATATATAAAATGTTATCTATTTAAGTAAGCCTGGGTAATCATCGCGCTAAAAATTTTATGTTGTGTTAATTTCCATGAAGCGTCAGGATATGGAAAGCATTGAATTTTTCAATTTTTTATAATATAATTTTAGGAGATGCGATTATAGTTTTCATAATTATTTAATTGTGTTTTGATATTTTTAATTAGTTAATTCATTATTTAAAAAAATTTTGATGAATTGAACTCTTCTATTCTTGAATTACAAAGTCAGTATATCAAGGTGACTGTACTTGTATTGTATATTTATGATATAATTTTGGTATTCAACAAATGCTGATTTGGATCATCAAACAGATTAGCCAAATTATTATATTACTTAATATAAAGTTAATGTTAATAATATTTGATATCAATTCAACTTCATTAATACTTATAGAGTTTCTATTAAAAACATAAAATTATTTATAATAATTATTTATTTATTAAGTAAAATTAAGTATAATAATATAAAAATATATAATTGTAATTATTTAAATTTAGAAATTTATGAATTATTAATATTTTTTTTTTGAATATATAAGTTATATATAATTTATGCTTTTTTAATTTATATATAAAGTTGAAATTAAAACCTAAAAATTAAAATATTTTGAATTTAAAAATTAAATTAAAAAGCTAAAATATTTAAATAATATTATATTACATAAATTACCCTTAGAAAAGTATCTGATAAAGCTTTTCTTAAATTTTTCAAGATTAGACATATTAACTAATAAAAATATTTTTTAAAGAAACCTTTAGTTTTGATTATAATGTACTGTATATATATTTATATTTGTATATAAATGCATATATTAATTTAATAAATAAAGCATAAAAAACTCTATTTTTTTTTTTTTTAAAGTTACATAATTAGCATATCTTTTAAAAATATCAAAAAGCATCAATATAGATATAATCATTTGACATACTAATTTTAATAATAGATTAAGTACTAAAAAAAATTAGAAAACTACTTTGTATTTACTTTAAAAATTCTTAAAATAAATAAATTTTTAACTGACTAGATATTTTTCTAAATGTAGTTAGTTTATTATATATAAAAAAATAAATAATTATTATTCTAAAATTTATGAAAAAGCTATTATTTAAATTTATTAATTTAATGATTTAATTTAGTTAAAGATAATATAAATAGACAAAATTTAGAGATTTTACAAGTTATTTAAATGGTAAAAAATAAAATTTAAAGTTATTTAAAAAAATCAAATCAGTTCAAATATGATTACTGATTTATAATTATAATTATGCAATTATATTATTATAATATATTATATTTTTAGTTGATTCATTCTGATAAATGATTGAATTTTAGACTAAAGAAATACAAGAGAATATTTAACTGTAAATCAGATTAATAGAAAATATCATATATAATAATTTATTATATTATTTGTGATTTTACTGATTTTTAGATTTTGTTTATATAGGTTGATTGCTAGGAAAATCAGATTCCGGGAATTTTTTAACAAAATTGAGATTTTTATTGCATTTTAGTTTTTAATGTTATTAGATTAAAATGTATTAAACTCTTAATTTAAGTAAAAAATTTCTCAGAACCTGATTTTCCTAGAAACCCTTCCATATAATAAATTCAGAATATTAAATATAAATCAGATGTTAATCATTATAGTCAAATTTAAAGTAAAAATTAGACTAGATTGAATTTAAATTAAATTATAATTGATTATTACATGACCAATTTGTTTTATTTTAACTAGTAGAATACAAATAAATATATTTTCAATGTTTTTTTTTACTTTTAGATATATTTTAAATATATTTAATTTATTTTAAGTTTTTATTTTATTTTTAAGCAATAATTTATATTTTAATATATTAACTTTTATTAATTAATTATTTTAAAAGTTTTAAAATTTAAACTAGAAAGAGTTTATATTTTTTTTGATTTAGAAATTTAATTTATGAATAATTCTATAAAAATACTAAATTATAATGTAAGTAAAAATAATTCTTAATTAATATTAATAAAATTACTGAGTTGAATTTAGATTACAGTATATCTAATTATAAGTTAAATAATAATAATATATTTATTTAATTAAATTATTTTATTAAAATGATAAGATTATTTGAGACTTTTCATTAAAAAAGGGAAAAATAGCTGAAAAAAATAAAAAAAAATTAATGTTAAATCTGAATGTATTTTAACTTAAAAATCATATTTGACATATAAAAGTAAAATTGATTTTTTCTAGCTGTTTCCTTCCTTTCTATTGTAAAAGTCTTATTTTATTTTATTTTAGTTTTATTTTTATTTTTTTAATTTTAATTTTTAATTTTTAAAATTTATATTAATCCATTTTTTACAATTTGAAAGGTAATTTCTATCTAAAGTTTATTTATTTATTAATTTAATTTAAATATTAATTAATCTTATAAAATCATTTATAAATAGTTTAAAATTCATTAAAATTGAAGTTATTTTCTAATAAATTTAAATTTAAATTATTTACATTATTCTAATTTTCATTTAATAGAACCTTAATTTATTTAAATTATTTTTAATTAATGATTAGATTTAAATATTTATCTATTTAAATTATTTATTTTATAAATAAAGAAAACTAATACTAATAATTTTTTATAGATATTCATATATTTTAAGATTATTTAAATAATTGTAATCATACAATATATATATATTTTTCTTTATTATAAAATATAATAAAATTGCATAATCATACAATATATATATATTTTTCTTTATTATAAAAATATAATAAAATTGCATAATCATACAATATATATATATTTTTCTTTATTATAAAAATAAAATAATAAAATTGCATAATAAATAATTAAAATAATTAAATTAACAATTATATAAATCATATAAATCAAAAGCTAAAATAATATTTTATTTATAATGTAATTATAATTGAATATTAAAACAAAAAAATGCTTATTTAGATAAAGTTCTAAATATAAAGAACAATTCTATATGTTACAAAGTTGTTATGTTGGTTTGTCACAAACATAAAAATTTGGGTCTTTTCTTAGTAAAATATTTCTAGGATTTACCTTTCTTGAAACCTCTAATTATAGCCAATCAGAATCCTTGTCTATTTTTTTTTTTTTGGTTTACCATGGTATAATATAAATATATGTCGTGTCGTTCGTTAATAAAACTTTTTAATTTATATTCTTAGAACAAAATAAATTATGCGCTTAAATTTCACATTAAAAATGGCTTATTACGTAATAAACTGGTTCAAAATGGGATGTTATTTAATTAATACTGTAATATGAAAAAAGTCTTGAAAAAGTGACTGATACAAAAAATACATCATCATAGCATATGTGAGATCTGGCAAATAAATAATGTATAAACAAACCTTGCTCAACCGATCCGATGGGACATCTATAAAAGATTTGCCACATACCAATTTAGCTGGTTCCTAAAAGTAGATAATAAATACGTTATGTTAACTCGAAGCGTCACCCAAAAGTCATTTTAAATTCAAAGAAGCTTGATCAATAAATGCTGGCATTTGATGACATTTCGTTGGCGTAAACTATACAATGTAAGCCCTTGACAAATTTATTTTCATCTTTATACAATAGAAAATCACAAGCATCTACGTAACTAAAAATCACATTTTATAATTCTTTCTAAAAAAAGGAAATTTTTTTTGTAAGGCAATCTTATATGAAATCTCCTTATTAAGATTAACGGTGTGAAAAAATTTTATTTTTATTTACTTAAAGCAAGGTATAGTTAAAAGTTATTTTCGTTTTAACAAAATGTATATATATACCCTTTCCTTCACCTCTAGATTTAATGTTTTTATTCTGAAAAAAAAAGAAAAAAGGAAAACTTGTTAAAAATGAAAATAAATTCAACTTTTCTCTTACTTTGCTTCTTTGTTACAGTAACGTTAGCTAATAATGGCTACGATTACGATCTACCTAATGTACCCGATAGTAATTACGAACACGGCAAAGACGACGTAAATTACGATTACGACCAGAAAAAAGAGGAGTGCGACTACGACTGCGAAAAGGACAACGACAAAGACTACGACGTAAATTACGATTACAAGAAGAAAAAAGAGGAGTGCGACGACTACTGTAATAATTATCACGACAACTATTACAAAGCAAAGAAGAGGTATTACAGAAGATCACCCGATTACGATTACAACAAGAAAAAGCAAGAATGCGACGACTACTGCAATAAGGATTACGACGATAATCACAAAGAAACTTATTAACTTTTTACTAAAAAAAGTTTTAAGCGATGGTGTTGAATCTATATTTATAATTTTAATTTTTGATTTAAACATTTTATATATTTTATCCATGAATAAGAATTTTTGAATATTTCAGGATTTTAGTTTTATCTTTATAATAAATTTTGTGATTAAGGTTTCAGTCCTATTCTAATAGGGAACAATTATTGTTAATAAAATTTATTGTATTACATGTACCCGGCCACAATAATCTATTAACGATACGATTTTAATTAAGACGAAAGGGCTGGTCATAAATGACGAGAACAAGGTGTTGTTTTTATTATTCATATATTATCATCATTAGTTTCGACGGTTTTGATGGGCTTTGCCACCCGTCGAAATTTCGCCACCCGTTGAAACTTCGCGGTTTTGCCTTAAAAAAATCTTTTGGCAAAATTTTAGATTTTTTAACACCCTGTCGAGACACGGGGGTTGTTTTAGACACAACTGAATGAAATCAATTTTCACTCACCATTTGTCAGGATGTTATAAATATTGTCAAGACTTACAGATATACTTCCTTGTTCCGGGCCGCCTCTTTTAACTGAACAATAAAAGCGAAGGGTTGAAGCTGTAATAAAAGTATATAAATAAAAAAAAAATCTTACAATGTAATTAATACTTAAATTTAAATCGCGTTCCAGTTAACCAAATCCTTGAAGCTTCTACGTAATATATATATTTTATGCGTTGGTATTAAGTAATACATATGCTTTCCAACAGGTCAATTATAAAAAACAACCTAATCTTAATTCAAGCCAAAGCTACAGTATATTGCTTAGAAATGGTATTTAAACGAACAAAGCATTTAGTTAATTGACGTTTCAAAATAAAAAATTTTTTTATTAAAAGAAAAATCTTAAAAACATAAATCTAAAAAAACATAAATCTATACATTAATTTAAATTACATAAACTTACAACATATAATAATTTACAATACGATTTAATTTAAATTACGACATATAATAATTTACACGCTATAGTACATTTCATAAAAAAAAAAAAGTTAAACCCTTTGAAAAACATTCTCCAATCTATTTTGAGCATTTTGATACCCTCTTTTATACCAATAAGTGGCAAGTTCCATATTCTTTTTGATTCCATCACCTTTTTCATACATAATTCCAAGGTTGTATTGAGCTATGCCATCTCCTAAATTTGCAGCTTTATAAAATAAATCAAAAGCGCTTCGTTTATCAACAATCGTTCCCTTACCACTGTAATAACAATATCCTACCATCGTAATTCCACTTACACATTCCCCTTTTGCTGATTTTTTATATAATTTAAAAGCTTCTTTATAGTTCTTGTTAACGCCTATTCCATTCCTATAGCAATTACCGAGGTTGTAGATGGCAACTATGTTTCCATTATGTGCAGCTTTTTTATACCAATAAATCGCCCTATTCACGTCTTTCTTAATACCTATCCCCTTTTCATAACAATAACTTATTTGTAATTGCGCTGCCGCACAATTTCGATTTTCCAATTTTTTATAATATTCAAAGGCCAATTGTTCATTCTTTTTTGTCCCGTTTCCATACCTGTAACATTCCCCTACAAAAAAATGGGCCAATCTATGATTTTGATTCGAAGCAATTATAAATTGGTTAAATGCTTTGTTATCATCCTCACATATTTCAATTCCAAAATAATAAAAGTACCCAAGTAAAAAGATATTATTCGAATTATTCTGATCATTCTGATTTCTTAAAAGCCAATTCAAAATTTCTTGCGAAGTAATATATTGATTATTGTTAATATAATCAAAGACATGTTGATTTCTTATTCTTAATTCCTGCCCTTCATTTGTTATCTTAAAGATAAAAGATACAATTTCATCAATAACATTATTTAAATCTTCATCTTCCGAAATACTCTCATGTTCATCAAAGGCTTCTATAATCTCTTTTGTATCCATCTGATCTATATTTTGAATCACCCGATCTAATTCACCTTGTGATAAATAATCTTCAATGGTCCTTGATACAAATTGACTTTTATTTGACTCGTGCATCGTCATATCACAATTATCCAATTTGTAAATCTCTGCCGTTGTATCCGTTGAAGAAATAATTGCGCCTAATCTTTCGACTACTTGACTCATCTTTGGACGATTATCTGGTTCCCCATCCCAACAATCTAAAAATACATATGTGATATGATTATTTAGTTGTTTAATAAAACTTATTATATATATACATATATTTACCTGTGTAGAGTTTAAAATAACCGGGGTGTGTATCTGGAACAATCGTTTCTCTAGTGCCCTGTATTATCTCCAGAGCCAAAGAAACATCATATGGCTCCCCATTTTCGTAAAATGGCGGTCGGCAACTCGATATTTCCCATAATAACACGCCAACACTATAAACATCACTCTTTTCATTTAATTTATATGAATATGATTGTGAATCATTGCTATTTCTTCTGCTATTTCTTCGTTTATTGAGTCTTTTTGGATCCATGTATGGAATTACACCAAAAAATTTCGATTTTTGCTTTGATGCTTCGTCGATTCTATTTGACAATCCGAAATCAGCGAGCTTGATCGTATTTTTATGAACCAACACGTTACCAGAGTGCTATTATATATAAATGATTGATTATTAATAAATTATCAAATGCGTTTATTTGATGCGTAAAAGCGAGAGGAGTAAATTAATTTACCAAATCATGATGTAAGATTCCTTCGCTATGCAAGTTTGAAACCGCACAAACCAACTGATAAGCCAAATCGTATTTATCATTCCAGGTAAGTACATTAGAATTTTCCTTTAAATGTTTCTTGAGCGTACCACCATCCGCGTATTCTAACACTAACAAATATCTTTTCATTTGATCTAGTAAGATAGACATTAATTATTTGTTTAAATGAAATCACGACACATGGTTACACATGATTTATTTTATCGTACCTTTTTCGGATGTAAGCCCATAAAACCGAATAACATTATCGTAAAAGTCAACCATCTTTTGTAATTTAATCTGATGAAAATATAAATATAAATATATATATATATTTATCAATAACCAAAATGTTGCATGATTAACTCCAAACAAAACACATTTCAACTTACCTCATGAACAATTTCCTTAACCGTGGCATGATCAAAATTATAAAAAGATTTTAAGGCCAAACATTTATTGGCATTTTTCCAATTCGTACAATATACCTTACTAAAACCTCCTTTTGCGATTTCTCGAATATGACTAAAATTTTCATATTCATAGTACCTGATATGCCCTTTATTAATGGCTTCCTCTATCCATTCAATCCATTGATTAGGATTCTCGATTTCGTGATTTTCGAAGAAATTAGACATTTTTCAGAGGAATATGACTTGGGGCTGAATTGATTTCTTTATATTGTTACATTATGGCTCGTCTTACTTACCTTTTAAAGGCATCATTCATACAACGTATCGCACAGAACATACAGATCGACAGACTTTCTGCCACGTTGCATTTCAATGCATTTTGATGACACATCATATAAGAAGAAAAATGATTTAATATTTATTTTACCAAAAAGCGTGGTATTTCCCAAAAACTTTAAAAAAATTTTATAAACTTACCATACCTTTAAGAAATTTTTTAATTGCATATTTTTGCATCGCCGAGATTTTGGTCGCAGGCGCCGCCCATAAAGGTCTGGCATGCAGATCTTGAATATTTTATTGGTTCTGCATCTAGGCTACACGCATTTTTGTTATGAAAATCCCTTCGATGTACAGTACATAACTAGGATACGGTCCTGAAGGTCACATGAAATATTGCTAAAGTATAGTTAATCATTTGAAATTTATTCATTCGGAAAGGAAAGAAAATTCAGACGAGCAATCTTTAAAATTGCGATAGTTACACAACCATTGTATCGATTACAATTTTAAAGTCAAGAAGCCGATAAATTTATCAAAAATAATAAAAATAATAATAATATGATATTCGTTTACCATTTTTCTCAATAAACGTTGCAATTGAGTTTACAAGATTAATTAGAAGGCTATTTGGAATATTTCCCCACTCCCCCCAAAAAAGCTAAGTTTTTTGGCTTATGCAACTTCGCGTTCCTTTTAACAATTATCAAAGGATTTAGGTCTGGGCTATTAGAGGGCCATTCCATAAACTCCAGGACATTAATATCAAGAAATTCCTTATAATAAGATAATAAGACTAGGAACATTGTCCTGTTGCCAGCCATGTATATACTTTTATTTCACATATTTGTAGTTAAAGTGGGAATTTTATTTTCAGCCAGAGTTGAATCATTTTTAATAATTTTATGAAAACTCTTATTTATTCGAATCACATGATCATAATCAATTACTTTATTTAATAAATACTACTACTTTTTCGCGAAATTGAAAAGTAAGATGGGTTTTGAAATTGTTATTCTTTTCAAATTTGAGTTGAAGTATTTAGTTAAGGATGGGATGGTCAAAAAGATCAACTAAAAGTCGGTTCTGGAACCGATTTTTAATTCGAATTACAATCGAACCGGAACCTGGCTCAAAAGTATCGTCATTAAATTAATAAAAATTTAGCTTGACCTTAATTTACTTTTAGAAGAGCTTCCTAATTGTAGTTAATACAGTTTTTAATTTGAAATTTTAATGTTAAGGATACACAGATGTATAGCATGATTTTATAAATGAACGAACTCCCTTGTTTAGTTATGATCGGCAAATTCTGAAACATGTTTGTCAACGTTAAAAAAATATAGAGACCAATTAAATATTCCTATTTCTCCTTTTTTTTTTTCCACCAAATTATTTTATTAAATAAATGGAAAATATTGATAATTCAAATAAGTGGGTTGATTCGATTGAGGGTGCAATCTTCAGAAAGCACATTAAATTTTACGAATATAAACATTTTAATAATTTTCATAAAATTGGTTCTGGAGGATTCGGAGAAGTCTATCGTGTAAATTGGAAAAGTTCAGATCAACACCTAGCGTTAAAATCTTTTTTCAACTTTGACAATAGCACCGTTAAGGAACTTGTCCGTGAGGTATCTTTTTGCAAAAATAAAAAAAAAATCTTTCAGTCTATCACGAAATCATTTAATTTATTTGTTATAATTTAGCTTGAACATCAACACGAAGTCGATTTTCATGAAAATATTATTCGCTTTCATGGAATTACAACTTCAATACAAGGTATGTATATAATAAATTTATTAAAGAAAACGATGACTTGGCAAATGTGAGTTAAAGTATATTATTAATACACGTTGTTCTTTAGAAAATCAAAATGGTCAAAAAATAAAAAAATATTCGTTAGTAATGGAGTATGCCAATGGTGGTACACTTCGAAGCTACTTGAAAGACAATTTTGTTAAACTTACTTGGAAAGATAAATACAACCTTGCATATCAGTTAGCTTGTGCTGTATCGTGCATGCATGACGAAGGAATTGTACATCGTGATTTGGTAATGCAATTAATTTTGTTAAGAATATTATTATCTTTAAATACATTTTTACTCATTAATCCATTTGTATAATAGCATTCAAGAAATGTGTTAATTCATAATGATAAAATTAAACTGGCTGACTTTGGTTTATCAAAGAGGATCGAAGAAGTATCAACTAAACAACAATCAAAATTTTTTGGTATAATACCTTATATCGATCCAAAAAGATTTAATCGACAAAAACTTAATAAACAGAGTGATGTATATAGTGTTGGCGTACTATTATGGGAAATTTCAAGTGGTTTCCCTCCTTTTTATATTGAAGGTGAACAATATGATATTGATTTGGCTATAAGCATTTCACAGGGACTTAGAGAATCAACTATTGATGGTACACCTGTAGGATATGCAAAACTTTATATCGGTATGTTACGTAATTTTTAATTGATTCACATTGCATCATAATAATTCTTTTTTTTTAAAAAAAAAAAAATTATACTAGAGTGTTGGGAAAATGAACCAGATAATCGTCCAACTATGAAGAATGTAGTGAATATACTGAAATCATTTGTTTTAGAGAAGAATATGATAACAGAAATTGACCCAGAATTTGATTACGAAATAGATCCTCATTTATCAAATGAACAACAAAATACACGTAACGTTAATATTACATCATGTGGAGAATTATCTCGCTTTATTCAAAATTTTGATCAAATTAAATATTCAAGAGAATTAGAAGCTATAGAAACAAAAAGTTTGTTAATAGAAGATTTAGACAAAATAGTTGACGATATTGTGGATTTAATTTTTAAGGAACTGAATGAAGGAAAAGCTTTTGTGTTAGGTAAAAAGCCAGTCCTTGATTTTCTTGATAAACGAAATATCACATCATTTGAAGTTTATGATTGGCTATCAAATAATCAAATCAGATCTAATTCTATTTTTTTATTTGGATATTTTAATTTCTTTGGAATTAAAGAATGCAAAGATTATGAAATAGCATTTTCTTTATTTATTAATGCCTCAGAAAAAAATCATATATTATCACATTGTTATGTTGGACTTTGTTATCAATACGGTTATGGAACTATAAAGAATGAAAAGTTGACTTTTAAATATTATGAGATTGCAGCTAAAAAAGGTTTTGCAGCAGGACAATCACAAATTGGTTATTATTATGATCAAGGAATAGGTGTTGAAATAGATTTACAAATGGCTATTTATTGGTATAAAAAAGCTGATAATATGACTGCTATATATAATCTTGGCATTTGTTATGGAAATGGATTTGGTGTTAAAAAAGATTATAATAAAGCATTTGAATTATTTAAACAATCAGCCGAAAAAAAAGATTCAGAAGGATTAACAATGTTAGGATATTATTATTATAATGGAATTGGAACTGAAATTAATAAATATAAGGCATTTGATTTATATCATAAAGCTGCAGATTTAGGAAATATGATTGCCATTAATAATCTTGCTAATATGTATGAAAATGGTGATCAAATTAAAAAAGATATCGATAAAGCAATTTATTGGTATGAAAAATCTGCTCAACAAGAATATCAATATGCCCAAAATAAATTAAAAGAGCTATTAAAAATTAAGAATAGAAAAAGTAAAAATACCATATGTAAAATTAACATTATATTTTTTTTTCTAAATTTTATTTTAATTATTATTTCATATTTTTATTTTTTAAAATTTCAAATCTTATAATTAATAAGTATTTTAAAAAAATTTTAATAAAGGTTATAATATACTTTATAAAATTTTAAAAGTTAATGTAAAATATTACATTATAATTAAAAATATTATATCAGTTATAATTATTATTAATAAAAAATATAATTATATTATATTATATTATAAATAATATAATATCTAGTTACAACTAGTAATAAATAAGTATTATATAGTTGTAATTAATTGCAATATTATTAAAAATTAAATTACAATTAGTTATAACTAGTAATAAATAAGCATTATAATGTTATAACTAATTATTGTATCATCTTTAATTAAACATAATTTAAAAAATCTATTTACATTAAAGTATTATATTAAATATTTCTTTTTACATTTAAATTATTAATTTATTATAAATAAAAGTTTTAGAAATTTATAACTTATTAATATATAGAAAAATTGTTAAAAAATCAAATTCTAAAAACTTTTTGATTAAAATTAAAATCTTAATACATCATAATCTAAATAATTTCAAAAATAAAATGTAATAAAAATTTTAAATTTGTTAAAAATTTCTAAAATCTGATTTTCTAAAAACTATTCAAAATAATATATAAAATAAAATAATTAATTATAATTAAATAATAAAAATAATGTAATAAATAATTTAAAAATATAATAAAAATAAAAAACTTATTTTCAATTTATAATTATATAATAATATTAATATTTATTGAATAGTAAATTTTATTTATATTTATTTATGCATTTTTAATTAATTCAAAATAAAGTAAAGGACTATTTATATTAGATAAAATAATATAAAATATTTAATATCTATTTACTTAATATTAAATTAATATAACATTAGATTTTTTTATACTTATTTATTATAATTATTCAATAAATAATTATAAAAAAATTTATATATTAAAAAAAAGATTTTTATTTTTTATTTTATATAAATAAATAGATATTAAAATCAGAGTATATATTAAATCAGGTAAAATTAAAGTATAATTAAATTTTAAAAATAAATATAATATAAATTCTAATATAATTTTAATTAAGATTTTTTATATAATAAAGTTTACATATCAAATTATTCTAATATTTGAGATATTACATTTTAATTATATTGAAGTTTTCTATATTATTCAATTTATAAGTTATAATAAAATAATAATTGATAATTCATTATAATAAAAATAAAGTTAAATCTTAAAGAAGTGTAGCTTAAGATATATAATAGTTAAGTATAAATAGTGATAAATTTATTAAATGATCAATAACTAATAAATATTTTGTCTAATCAATTATTATAATCAATTATTTATTTTTAGATAATTTTAATTATAAATTAAATAATTTAGAATATTAATTAATATGTTATTTAAGTATCATTATTATATTACCAATTATATAAATTAACTATTACTGTATATTATATTAATTATTAAATATTATATTTATTTTTTTATATAATTCATTTTTTATAATTTTATTTGTTAAAAATTTATTATATATGCAAGAACATTAGATATATTATTTTATATAATAAATGAATTAAAATAAATTTTTTTTTACAAATTTTATATAGAATTTCAAAAATTTTTAATATTAATATCAATCTTTTTTCAGAGTTTAGGTAAATTTATTAAGTATTCTAAAAGCATTTATATTTAAATTTTTAAAATTTTGTTAATATTAATCTTCTCTTAGAATCTAAATAAATTTGCTTAAGAATTTAAAACTACTTATAATAAAATTTATATTAATATTAAATTAATACTTGTAAATTATATGGAGGGCGGTCAATAGAAAAGGGAGAAATCTACAATTTAGTAATTTTAGTTAGTAATTTTTGTTATTAAGCTAGTTTTGTTCACATGACCATGATCAGCAGTGGATTTCACTTTTCTACTGACCGCCCCCTATATGGACGCTTTACAGTAAAAAGAGAAGAAACTACCAAAAAATTTCAAAAAATTTTTTTTTGAGTTAATATTAAATCTGGATTTTTTTTTTTTTTTACCACAGATTCACATTATTTAAAGCTTTTTTTCGCATCTTATTTCAGGATTCTTGCAAACTTTAATGGTAACAATACATTGTAATTTCCTTGGTAAAGAAGATGCTAAAAGAAACTTAATTCTGGTTCCAATATTTTAATATTAATACGCAATGCGCCTGACGAATCTTGTATTAACTGATAAGGGTTTGTATTTGAGTTTAAGAATAAAATTGGTGATTTTATTGAAAGATTTGTGAGTTTGAGGAAACTATATTTTTTCTAATAATTATTTTTGTTTAACAAGTTCCTTCTTAGTAGGACTTATCTACAATAATATATCAACAAACAATATGTCTTCGGACTTTACTTTTTGCACGTGAAGTAGATGACACAAATATCGATTACTCAAACGATGATGAAATGCATTTGGAACTCTCCAATACAAAAAGGAAAGTGATACGGAAAGATGTACAGTCGTCCCCCCTATAGTCACCCCCTGTACAATCACATCATATAAATTCCTCATTATAAGCACACATTTCGTAAGAACCAATACCTATTGATGCTATATATAAGAAAACCCCTTTATAATCACAGTGTTTTATAGTCACACCCTTTCAGAACCAACGGGCTTAGTAACAACATATAAAAATCCTCCTGTATAGTAACTTTTTATTATAATCACACTTTTTATTTTTGGTCACGAGGGATGACTATAAAGGGGGACGACTGTACCGATCAAAAAGTTTGGCTTACATAAATTTGGTCTTGAAATTAAGTGAATTACAAGTACAGGCATGGTCAGATAAATTTCCTTTGGAAATAGTGGAGTTGATTTTAAAAAGAGCCTTCAACATAAACCTGTTGAAATCCAATACGCTTCTTGGAATTAATTGAAACAGTTGAAAAGTGTTCACTTATCACGCAAATGCCGAACATGTAGACCATAAGTTATATCGTGAATAAAAATGGAATTTGGATCAATTTGATCAAACATTGTTAGAAAATCGTCCAATATATAAACCTTCGTTTGACGAACGAATACCAAAAATTTTAGATCCATTAAAGCCTGATTCATTACATTGGACAAATGATTTAGGCAATTCAAGATATGTATGGACAATATATCAACTTTATGAAGCTGTGCAAGAAAGTCAAGGAAGTTTATATCAAGCTTTATTAAATTATTTGAATAAAATCACGAATTGTTTACTATTTTTTTTTTGATGAATTAATAGAAAATCTTTAATGAATTTCCGGATTTCATTGACGAAATCATTCATGCGTTAATTTTTATCTGGGCTCTTAACCTGATGTTTTTTCACGTGATACTTATTAAAAAATTTATTTATATAGGGGTACAGGATAAGAGCTTTTACCCTAATTTTTTCATGATTGGTGACGAGATTTAATTATTTCTTTATTAAAAAAAAATTGAATAATAGGAACGTTTTATTTGATTTATTGAAAATGCAATGAAGAAACAATAAAACATCTAAACGAGTATCATGTAGCTGATGTAGCCAGCCTTCTGAATAAGCAATCAGAATATTTTGTCAAGTTTGACTTGCAACAGAAACGCCATCAATACTATATCTGAGGTGTTGACTCTAAAAGTTCATATTTAGATAGATTAATTCCCGAGTCGACAATTCTAGAAATCTCAATACCGTTTGTCTTTCTGCTAAGGTACGTTCTTAAGCGTAACATTACGTGTTATATATTTTGCGAACTAATTTTTAGGGAGCTTTAGCGTATTGGGAAATGTCTCATTTAAAATTTCGAGGTTTTTTCATGTACAGTGGAATATTATCTTGTGTAACTATTCGATACAGATTATTAGGAGCAGAACCTAAAAAGTTTATTGGTAATCACGCTATTCTTAATAGAAGTTATCATCGTGATAGTAGTAGTGTATACAACTAACTCTACCTATTAAATTTAAATTCATGGTTCATGAATAATATCACCGATTTTTCATGTTGAGCTTATTTGGACCAAATTTTTCCTTTTCTTTACTCTCTAACTCATGTATCTTATGTAAATATATCGTCTTTTATTTACAACCTTTATAATGACTTTAAATTTCTTATATATATATTTTTTTTGTTCTTATAAAGAATAAAAGCTGAATTTAATTTTAATGAGTATTTTGGGATATGATATAGTTTTATATTGATAATAAATGCGAGCACATGTATGAACCATCCCGCCAGGGTAGATTCCATTTCAAAGTTCACAACTTTAACTCTCATATTAGAATTCGAATCGGCCGCCAACTGGGAATCAAAATTAAAGCAATTATCAAATGATCATTGGATGTTGACGACAAATAAAAGTTAACGTCGTCGCTTAAGCTCCTAAAATTAATGATTGTGCAAAGAATTCTTTCATATTTCGAACTGCTTCGGCATGAACAATTATATCATAAGTTCCTTCTTTTTTCTATTCATCTTTTAACAAAGCAGTGAGTTTTGAAACATTACTTGTAAATTGAAGGACATTTTTAAGATTTTATTTATTTAAAGTTAAAATATATATAATATTTCCAAAATTGGAAATTCATAAAATTAATCTAACCACCCTACGCCATTAATGAATGCATAGAATACTTTATAATCTAAAATATTTTTGTTAATATTATTTTTGTCGGCAAAATTAGTTTCGACTCCAGGATATGTATAACCATTACATTTACTCATGATATAACTTTGAATCACCCTCCACAAATTCTGGTCCAACATATACGGAAAATTTAGAAAATTTTTTTTTTTTACTCTTGCAATGTATCCCAAATCAATATCTTCTTGATTTGTAAAAGAAATATAAAGCTGTCTAATATAGTACCCCAACATTCAGTACGTTGCCAGTATAATGGATTATTAACTCTGCATTTTCTTCCAATTTTGAAATCTTAATGGTTGAACCTTTGTCATCACATAACCATAAAATTTCTGTTTCAAATCCATCTCTACTGGTACAATAAAAAGCTTCAATGATAAGAGATACTTTTAGAAAAATGATTTGTCTTTATATCCGCCAGAGAAAAGTTTTCCAATATTGTTGGATAAATCTAGAAATTTTATGGCGAAGAATCGTGTCATATGATATTGCCGCAGATGTATCCTTATGTACTATGTGCATCAATAGAAAAGGATGCCGAAATTTAGCATTAAATCTTGGAATTCACACGCAGTTTCTGCCGCAAATCGCCCAGTTATCCCTTGATGAAAACTTTATAAAATATAATGAACACTTTTTGGCTCGCGTTTTTAATCGATGATATAAGTTTAATGAAATTTTATAATGAATTATTATTTTTTTTTTTAAAATCCATTTTTAACATGATCAGCATAAATAAAAAAAAAACTCCGTCATATTTCATGGTAACGTGATTTTTTGATAAAAAAGGGGGGGAGGAATGATGCTATATTACTTAAATCAATTTTTTTAAACTTCACGTTAGCCAAAAATAGTTTTCTATAGTTTTCGGCCCCTGAAACCATAATTCTCCGCGAAGATCATTAGTGCTTAAACTGGTGAATAATAGGGGAATATTTAATTCAATTACCAAAAAAAAAAAAAAAAAAAAACATTTGACTCCATTCCAAAATGCCCAGCGAAACCAACGAAACCATTGAAACCACCGAGGATTACGAAAGATTATTTGAAACTGGCGAAGGATATGATGTTGTAATCTATGCCGGTCAAAATGAAAACGTTAAAGAAATACGCGCGCACTCGAGTATTTTATGTTCTAGATCACAATATTTTCGCACAGCGTTCTCAAAGGAATGGGCCGAGAAAAAGGATGGAAAGTTTATCTTTAAAAAGCCTGATGTTTCTCCCTTGTTATTTGAAATCATTATCAAATACTTTTATTGTGAAAAGATTGATTTGACAGCTTTAAAAAATCATGATGTATTAAACCTCCTGTTGATGGTCGATGAACTTGATGTACAAAGTTTAATGTCTCGCATCAAAGAATACTTGATTCAGCAAAATCCCATGGGAACTTTTGAAGCGGTCTATCAATTTGAGCCATTCACCGAACTTTGTAACGATTGTCTCGAAAAAATTTGTCAAGAACCTGAATTAGTATTTTGTTCGGATAAATTTCTTAAATTAAAAGCATCTATCATGGAATTGCTTTTAAAACAAGACTTAGAATTGGACGAGATTATTATCTGGGATAGTTTAATTAAATGGGGCCTGGCACAAGTACCTACTATTTCACATGATGTTGCTAAATGGAACGAGGAGGATTTCACGATCATGGAGAGGGTTCTCAATAGATTTATTCCATTAATTAGATACTTACATATCACGCCAGAAAATTTTCTCGATAAGATCTATCCTTTTAAAAGGTTTCTACCAGATGATTTGTTGAAGAAAATCCTGACATTTCATATGATTCCAAAGAGGACATTATATGTTGATTTGTTGCCTCCAAGAAAAAAGTATGGTTCAGTTATAATTAAACCTCAACATTTTTTCTTATTTTCCAAATGGATTTATTTGAGAAGCAATTCGCTCAGAAATATTCCTTATAATTTCGAATTGCTTTATCGTGCTAGTAGGGACGGAAAGCAAACAAGGTTCTTTCATAATAAATGTGATGGCATGGGGGCTACTATTTTTGTCGCGAAAATCAAAGATTCCAATCATGTCATTGGAGGTTTTAATCCATTAGATTGGTATGAAGAAGGTTATAGATACACGTCGAAGAGTTTTATATTTTCCTTTAAAGATTGTAGAGATATCAAAACGGTTAGAATAGGTAGAATAATGAATGGATGTGAAAAACATGCAGTTTATTGTGATATTATGTTTGGACCATCTTTTGGGTATAGGGGTGATATCAGTTCTTGTGATGATGAATTATGGAGTTCCTGTAAGGATTCATACGGTATCATTGATATCCCAACAAAATTTGATATTGATGAGTATGAAGTATTTCAGGTCATTGAAGTTTAAGTATGTGATATTTTGTTAGACTTGTCATGTTTTATCATTTGTAATGTCAAAATAATAAACTTGCTGAATAAATGATTTCTGCTGTAACTTGCTATACATAATTTTAAAGTTTCGACCCTTTATTTTTTTTTTTTTTTTTTTTTTTTTTTAAAAAAAAAATTTAGTTTTTTCGTTTAACAAAGAATCTTGTAATTCAAAATACTAAAAGAATCATGAGTTTATGTATTCGTTCGGGGTCCTGTCTACCTGATTTCCGTTACCTTTAGGTTGTCGTTCGCGTAATTCAACATCTCTCTTCATCCTCCAAGAAAAAAAAAATAACTTTCCCAGAAATTAAAAATAATGAATATCGTAATTCAGTTTTTTCACTCGCAACAAGAAGGGCGCCAACTACAATAAAAGTTAATAAATTTATTGTTTGTTAGGGACAAAGTCTACAATTATTGTACAGTACAAAAAAAGCATCAATTTATAAAGGCGAATAGAACCGATTTTTTAAAACCTATGATCATTTAATCACAAAACCTTACCTATGCAATTTTATAATAAACTAATAAACCTTAATAAATTTTAAAGATATAATTTCCATCTGCATCATTACATGCTTTAATTCGACTTTGCATGCTTAATGATGCAAGCTAACTCTTACAGCATTTGTCAAGATCCCTCTCTAATTACATTAAAAAAAATTGTCAATAATTTTCTACGCCAATATTTTCTTAATCTTCTACTCATTTTTTTTTTTTAAAAAAAAAAAAAAATAGTAACATTTTCAATTGGAATGAGATCTGGATTTTTAGAAGACCAAAGACCCAAGAAGGCGATTTTCAACGACATAAACCTAGTAAATTGATCTGCATCAGTAAAACGACTTTCTAATGTAACAAAAGTTTGTGAATGGTGTCAAATACTAGCGTTGCTGAATGAATTAGAAATGAAAAAATTACTTTAGACGTGGTGGAAATTGTCAAAGCGAGAAAGTTGCGAAGAAGAAAACGAGGGATACAATGTGGGAAAGAATTAAAAAGGATAATTTCGAAATTTTAATGAGAAAATATCCTAAAAGATTCTACAGACGTTCCAATGTGTTAAACTTGAATTAATTCTCATCTGTATGTTCTGAAATGAAATTTTTGGTTGTTTTTTATACTTATATTGGAAAATGTACATATAGAAGAATATCCTTTAAATGATATTAAGAAATTTAAAGCAGTGTTATTAGCAGTATCATATGCAATACCAAAAACAAAAAAGTACGTGAACAAATACGTAACATAATCCATTTCCAATTCTTTCAAAGGATATAGGTTTCTCAAAAAATAGGTTTTCAACTCCGTTTGATAGCAAATTTTTCCCGCCAAACAGGCCTTGTGGATCAATTTTAAAGTTCATCTTTCGTGCGACAATCCTTACAAACAGGATTACGTATTCGCTCAGCACGTATTGTTTGATAATAGACTCTTTATTGGCTGATGATATGCTTGAATTTATATTATGTTTTCTGATAGCCAACTGCAGCTGCCACACATTCTTTTCAACAAGTCCACCACTGTTCCAGACACGTATTCATCATTGAATTCATAGACCATGTAGCCCTCTTTGAACGATAAGTATCCGATTCAACAACCGTATTTTCTTCTTCTTCTCCTAAGTGATCTTTACCAACTTTAAAAGTATAAAACGCAAAGTCAATCCAAATTTGATATTCAACCTTTGGTGTACATCCCATGGACGTTATTAAGTATAAAACAATAATGTTACGCTTTGATACTGAAAAGATTCGATGGGAAAGCGTTGATCGTGTTCGGAAAGATACGGTCTGACCATTGCAAATACTTGTTCATTAAAAGCCTTTTCAGATTTTTGCCTTCAAATTTATGTAACTCTATAACAAAATTTTCATTTCTAAGAACCATTGGTGTTACCCGCTGCATCAGCATAATCTTTTCGATGCCAAGTGGAAACTCGCCAAGAATGAATTGGAGATGCACTGCAACCTATAATTTTTATAAGGCCAATATAAAAGCCTAGAAGCATCGATTGTTCCCGAGATTCATACAGTTGTTAATATTCATGTAGCACCGCTAGCTTCGTGGGCACCAGATCGGTATAGGACCATTTAACAAGGTCGTCCGCAGTTCTCAAGCACATGATTGATAATTTTTCTCCTTGCGACAGTAATACCTAGCATTGCATCTCAAACAACAAGAATTTGTGGTTTTTTTACGCAGACTATATTGATTCCATTTTACAATATTCAAACGAAAAAAACTGAATGAGAAAAAATGATTGACGATGAGAAAATTATGCAAGTTACACAATTAAATCAAAAATGGGGTGCATGATCGTCATGACTATATCAAGCATCTAAATATGGTCATGCTCAAAAAAAAAAAAATATAAGTAAATTAAGTAAATTGATTTTACAGATTTGTCGCGTCCTCCTTATAATATCCTGCGTTTGAATGAATTACATTAAAAGAAATAATTAAATATAAGAATATTCGTAATATCGTTACCTACAGCTAAGGCCGTTCTCGAGCGCATCCCTGGCCAGTGATTGGAGTGATGCTCAAGCGTCACGATCAATTGAAATAAATATGGTGCCCAACTTTTGTAAATTTCGTTCCGACTACTCATTTCTCTCCTTTTAACAACTTAACAAATAATTTATCCTCGTATTATATTGATTTTGCTAAACGTGATCCTCGAGGCCATGTAAATCGTCCTTGTTCTAAATCTAATATTGCTTCTAAAATCGATCAGTAAAATTACTTACGTATTCCAGTTTCATTTGCTAATCGTCATAATACAATGGCAATTTGTTTCCATGCAGGTCTAGGGTAAAGGCTTGATGGGTTTCTAATCGAGTCACAATAGTACGAAAAGTTGTAAGAGTTATACTAAAGTGACGCCTAAAAGAATTATAACCTTCTCCATCTACTAAATATGGGAAAACATCAGTCCAGAACCCTTCAATTTTAGGTCTTGGCTGACAGTTAACGTTAAAAGATGATAGTCATTGGATCTTTGCATTTGAATATCTTGACGCCTTTTATTTTTTATGACGGCTTCTAGTGTAAAAGTAATATTTTTATTGATTCTATATGTTGTATAACATGGAAAGTTTTATACTCCATTTTTTTCCATTTTTGGTAGCCAAGAAACAGGTTTTTTTTGACTTAAATGATCACACTTTGCCTTTTTAGTCAATTATAAACCCATAGAGGGAGACGCTGAGCAGTGTTTCAGCAGCCTCGTGACTCCAGCTTTAATTTTTTTTCCACAAAAAGTACATTATTCATAAATATTTGATTTTGATTTTACCATTCATTATCTTTAAGAATTCAGAAATTCTACAATGATAAATGCTTAATAGTTTTTCGAGTTTGAAATTTTTTCAGTTGGAGATGAAATGAACAACAACAGTTGAAGTTGATGATGCAAATTTGTCAAGAAAAGATACAATTAAAGCTAATTCCATGCGGTCATAAATGCTTGACGATGACAAAATTAGTTCACGTTTAACGAGGATTTCTTATTAACGATCTACTTGAAGGTGTTTTTTTAAGCAAAGAATTCAAATATGATCTTCAATCCATTTATGTATCTGAAATATCGGTACTTTACAACTTCATTATTTACAATTGATTTTTCAGAAATCAAAATTTATGAGCCTTAGGAATATGGTTATGTAGATTGATATGGAAAATCGGTACGGTATTGATCAAACGATGTCGTACCGTGCCGATTTTCCAAATACTGTATTCTTAAGTTGATTACAAAAATTAAATTGATGTTTTTGCTCGGATGAATTGCCGCACGAAACTCAACTTGCCCATGTAAACTTATTTAAGGCCGTTCTCAAGCGCATCCCTCAATGTGATTGGCCAATGATTGAAGTGATGCTCAAGTATCACGATCAATTGAAATAAATATGGTGATCAACGCTTGAGTAATCTCTTTCACTTTCTTGCTTTTTTTATGATGGTTCAAAAAAGAGAACTAAACCAAACTTTTGTAAATTTCGTTCCGACTACTCATTTCTCTCCTTTTGACAACTTAACAAATAATTTATCCTCGTATTACTGTGATCCTCGAGGCCATATAATTCGTCCTTGTTCTAAATCTAATATTGCTTCTAAAAATCGATCAGTAAAATTACTTGGCTTATTCCGAGTGGTATTCCAGTTCCATTTGCGCCATAATACAATGGCAATTTGTTTTAATGCAGGTGTTGCATTAGAGGCGTCTAGGGTAAAGGCTTGATGGATTTCTAATCGAGTCACAATAGTACGAAAAGTTGTAAGAGTTATACTAAAATGACGCCTAAAAGAATTATAACCTTCTCCATCTACAAATATGGGAAACATCAGTCAAGAACCCTTCAGTTTTAGGTCTTGGCTGGCGTTGCAATCTTTAATGGATAAAAAAAAAACACGAGAAAAAATTTATATTTGTTGTGGTAAGGACAGTTAAAAGATGATCGTTGAATCTTTGCATTTGAATATCACGCCTTTTATTTTTTATGACGGCCTCTAGTATAAAAGTAATATAATTATTGATTTTTGACGGCGTTGAAGATCCATAGTGTAAAATGTGTAAATATGTTGTGTAAAATGGAAAGTGAAAGAGTTAGGCGTATGAGCAATCTCTTTTTATACTCCATTTTTTTCCATTTTTGGTAGCTCTATGAAAAAAAAAGATGGTCCGTAGCTCCAGGTTTTTTTGACTTAAATGATCATCACACTTTGCCTTTTTAGTCAATTATAAACCCATATAGAGAGACGGCCTAAGTCTAGTTAAACACAAAGGGCTAAACCGGCTTTTTCGTAGTTGAGGAAACTCAATGAGGCAAAAGTATTGATTTTGATAGACTTGTGGTATCCTTGATAGACATCTTAGTGAAACCCATGTTCCTTGAATTGGATGCTAATGGTCACGTCACAACCGTGACCGATATCGATCGATAGACCGACTGATTTTTCAATAAAGCTTTCTAATAAGCCTAATCGGTCGGTCAAAAGACCTTTGACCGACCGTTGATCAACAGTTATCCCTAATCGGTATTTATTAAACGTTTTAGGAGATAAATGTTGAGAGGATCTGCCTCAAATTCAAATTTCACTTGAAATTTCAAATTTGGGCAATGCCCCAATTTAAAATTGGGTAATATAATATTTTTAGAGTTTCTGTAAAGTAGATTATTTACTTCATTATTAAAAGAATTATCTATCTTTAGTTTAATTAACATAGAATTAATTAATTTAGAATTTATCTATTCAATACTTAATTGGTTAATGAAATCAATATAGAATAAAATAGAATAAGATTTTAATTTCTGGATTATTTAAAAAATCTATAATAAGAAAGAACAAAATATTTATTAATAATATTTCATAATTACAATAACATAAGTTATGGATTAATTAGTAATTGTGAGAATGATATACTCTTTCTTAATTTATAATGGCTTTAATAGATGCTTCTAATAAATGAAGTTCATTTTCCTAAAAATCCAAGAACATTTTCTTAATTAAATAAATATTTAATCTCATAATTTTATAATTAATTTAATTCATATTGTATTAAAATTAATATAAATTTTTAACATTAGTCATGCAGAAAGTTTTAATTTATTTTTTAAATTTGTTTTGATCAGTTCAGTATCAATTAAAACTCCGAACGGTTCGGATTAATCCGAAGATTTTTCGGTATAAAAATCAATCCGAAAGTTCGGTTCGATTATATACGAAACTCTTGGAGGATCGCAAATTTTTGCGATCCTCCATGAGACAAATTGGAATGCATTTAAACGGAAGTTTAATGAACTATTCATTGTTAAAGTTGAGTAAAAAAAAATTGAATACTTATTTGATTGGTGCTAACAAATTTATAAATTTGATTGGCGCCGAGAAATTTTTAATCATTCGATTGGTACCGATATTTCCGACATTTCCGAACAATCCGAAGTGCCGATAAACTAAATTTTACACGTCCCGCGACTTTTGAAATTAGCTGTAATCCGAAAATTTCGGTTCGGAGCTTTAGTAGGTTTAGAAATATTTGTATGCTGTTTATTTAATACGCAAAAAAAAAAAAAAATATAATCCATTTATTTTTTAAAAACTGCGCAAACTTATTTCCAGTGATTTATTATCATTTTTTTCAGAAGGCATTTAAAAAAATTAAGGTTGCTTTTGTAAGTAGTGGCAATGTATTCTTTTACAAACTTTTAATATTAATAATATCTAACAATTATAATAAGTTTTTATTACAAAGAGCGTTATATATGTTGTATGTCTACTGGCCTAAATTACCGCCCATTTTTGTAATTTCTGGGTCATTTCTATATTTAGTATTCCGTCGACATCTGACGCAAATCGACACCTGGGGCACAATATACATGGATTGAAAAAAAAAGGCAACAATATAATAAGCGGGAAAGTTCAAGCTTGAAACGATAAATCGAAATGAATGCAACAATAAAAATTGCTTAATGGATATGTGAAATTTTTTTTGCGTTCGCTATTTCGTTATGTCTAGCTAAAATGGTTTATTGCTATTTATAGGAAAATATTATTAAAATATCACCGTTATTTGCAAATCAAGTACGCACGTGACCTTTGACTCTCGAGAAAAAAGTTAAACTGTCAAGTAAAACCGGCAATAGCTCAGTTGGTAGAGCGGGAGACTGTAGTGAGATAATAATCTCAACCCGTCATCTCTAGGTCGCTAGTTCAAATCTGGCTTGCCGGACAAAAAATTTTTTTTGAAGCAATTGTAATTTATTTGTGGCGCAGATCTGTCTAAGCCATTATTATATTAAATTTTGTACTAGCTAGTTTCAATTTTTGTCCGAGAAAATCATTTAATTTTCGACAAAATTTGTAGTTTATAATTATAAACATTGAATTAGTAAATTGAAAGGTTTATAAATAATAAAAGAATGATTGGTAATGATACTATCCAAAGGATAGAAGCTTTTACGAATTATATTGAATAAGGAATCAATTAATTACAAATTATAAAACATTTTTTCTTTCAGATGATCTCTTTTTCAAAGTTTGATCGAATGATAGATCTACCTGTATTATAACCGGATGGATTGTAATACAATATAGGTAACACTAAGCATTGCTAAGTAAAACTACTATTTCCTGCATGATCTCCGGAGAGAATCAAGGCTCCATCAAGCAAAGCCCGGAGAAAGATTCCCCGAGCGCCATTTTCATCTCGATCCATTACAGTTCTACAATTTTGGCAATTATACACCTCGGACCCTCCAATTTTTTGAATTTTTCCACACCAGCTACAAGTTTTAGAGGTATAAGCTTCATTTTGAATAATGATATGAACTCCCAATTCTTCTGCTTTGGCTACTAGACGTTGGCGAAATTGATAATGTGCCCAACCAAGCATTTGCCGAACTGTTTTTCGTGTAATTTTTCTTGTTTTTCTATTTGTCATATTTGACACTTCAAATGGTGGAATGGTGATAGCATCAAATTCACGAGTGAAAAATGAAACTGCTTTTCTATGTATTTCATTTTGCAAATGAAAAATTTTTCGCCTCATACATGCCACTGCTTTATTAAGTCTTTTAGCCTTATTTTTTTGCGTTTGGAAGTTGACCTATTAAACTTGTTTTTTTGTGATATTAATTTGTCCATGTAGGTGCAAAGACGAACAATACGTCCAATGTCATGTTCACCAATCTTACCTACATCTTTATTGGAGAGTACCATGTGAATGGTGTTCTAACCCCAGGATCAATAGAGACTGCATGAATACCATCTGCTTGTGTTTCACTGAAATGTTTTTGTATCTCATAGACCTATGTGAATTTCCACTCATTTGTTTAGCAAAAATAAGTAAGCTTGCTATCACAAGAAACCTTATGCAGAATAGGCTATTTATTATTTTTACGCTTCTTTTCAAAATGAAGTGACCATAACGCACACTTGTTACTGTTTATTGTGATATTATCATATAATATTAGAATAAAGAAAAGGCTTCTTTAATTAATAGACAAAATGAACCTTAACAGAAAAATTCTTTCTTTACTACAAATAATAATATAATAATAGATCTTTATAGTAAAAATATAACAAATGAATTTGAAAAAAATTTAGAATAATAAAGAGTTTTCATATTATTAATGTACAACATAAGTTTAAAATATTGTAATTAATCATAGAATATAGAATTAGTAATAAGGTTATAATTAAAATCATTAAAGGTTTTATAAATCGTCTAAATAGTAAAAGTTAAAATTATATTAAAATCTTATTAAAAAATATTTGAAATTCTGAAAAAGGTAAAACTATATCAAAGCTTATAAAAATGTAAAACTATATTAAAATTAAAGCTTAGATATTTTATTAAATCTAAAATGAGTATAGACAAGTAACTTTAGTTAGAATATTTGTAAACAAAATTTATCAATTTACTATTCTTTATAATACATTTTACAGTTATTATAAGGTAATAAAAAAGGATTATCTTAAATCTGATTTTAACATTATTATATGATAGAATCACATATTTTTAATATTAGAAAGTTTAAATAAATATATGAAGAATTTGATTTTCTTATTTATAATAATAAATAATTAGAAAATTTAATTAATAATTATCTTATTAGATTTAATATATAAGGTAACAAAATTTTTTTCTTCAAATTTATATCTAAATATTAGTAATATAAGATTAACTTTTATTGATATATTAAAATATATATTGATAATTACACATTAGAAGAATCTATTATGATAAGTTTTATATGTAAAAAATTGTTGATTATTAAAAGATATTTAATTTCTTTACAACTATTCTAATTATTTTTAATTCAAATTCAAAATTACTTATTTTTCTATTTTAAAGAATAATATAATAAATTAATAAATTAATATTATTCAAAATACTTATATATGTACTATTATAAGATTTAGATAATTCAAATAATATTGTAGAAAAAAGTATAAGTGAAATCATTTTTTGAAATTTAATAAAATAAAATATGACTATTAGAAAGAGAATTAATAAGATATTTAACTTTACCATTAATATAGTCTAAGTCATTATCTTAGTAATATTAATATGTAAACAAATTTTTGATTTTATTAAAAATAGTATATAATTTTTTATTATTTAAAATCTAGTATATATTTAAAATTATCTTAATTTTAATATGACTCATACTTCTTTGTATTTAAAAAGTTAAATAGAATAAAATGCTAATTTAATTAAAAGAATTTTATTATATTTTTTATTATATTTTAATATAGTTTTATCTATTATTAAAAGGTTTATTTTATTTATAATATGATATCAATGGAGAAAAATACAGCTCCAAATATTATGTGAAATC